GGCTCCCATTTTCTCATTTATGTTTTTGATGGGATATTGTAATACAATAATTCCTCACCCTCCTCCTGAGGTTTTCCCTGAGCGCTATAAATAACAAGAGCTGTGTCTTCAAGAGCTGTGTCTTCAGGCCCCTTAAAGGCCGATAACGCATTCGCAACTCCTCTTGTGTTGCAGATGGCTATGAGCGGCGATAACCACTTACCATCAGGTGGATCGCTTGCTCGTTTGACCCTTTTTTCTATAAAAAAATATCTTCTTATTCTACGTGCTTAATCTAGAAGCCTTTGTGATATTGCAGGTACTAAATGTTATCCAAACTCGTCCAGTCGTTTTAGGGTGTAGGGGTAATAATATACACTAAGACACTAAAATTTACAAAGTTTCCAATTTATGATAGTTGTCCAAAACATTCGTTGCTAGAAGGAATGTAGACACTTAACTATAATAATGCCTTATTTTATTACTTGTATTTCTGTCGCAGTCTATAAAATGTATTAGAGACTTACTGAAATATACAATTATATAAATAGCTCACGTAACGGTTAAATATTCTTGTCTTTAGTTTTTCTCGCATTTAACTGGAATTCTTACATCATTTATCATTTAATCTAAGTATTATAGGTACACTTATTAATACTAATTTTAAGCAAAATAGTGAAATCGCAATAAAATCTCTTCAGAACGCTATTAAAACAAATCAACGTACAAACTCACAAATTGCTTTATACTAATTAGCGATAGCAAAAATGTCTTGCTACATACGTACATACATACAAGTGAATCATTTACCCTTCTTTTTATTCGCCTCAGTCGGGTAATAAGCGGCTAATTCGTTCATGAGGGAATATATATACAGAAAAAGAAACTGAATATGATTGAAGTGAGTGTTAGTATGTAAATATTAGATGTAATAAAGCTTATTTTACATTCATCCCGTGTTGTGACACATTGACATACCATTTGACATCTTTCCTCATCTTAATTGCGCCGGCGCCGACAAGATACAGTGTATTTAAAACTCACAGTTCCAGGAATCTATTTAATAGATACGAAAAAGGACTATAAATAAAGCTAAGTCACCCCTCGCTACCGTCTAAATCAGGAGTATAGTTTGTTGGAAGCATTTTATTTTTCGACGAAATGTTTATTCGACGAATGTTATGGCAAAGTGTAATAACATCACTTATTCTCTGTAAAAACATGATTTTGACCAATTTTAGTATTATAACTGCGAAAATGTATATCTATATGTATGTTAGTTGAGATTAAATGCATTTGGGTGAATTTTATTAGCCTGTTGAATTTTAGTAGACCACCACCAAGAGTAAAAATTACACTACTATTAGGTTTCTAGGGACGCAACTAAAGGAAGCGAGGGTAAATCGCTTTTGGTCTTATATAGCGTAAAAATGAACCGAATATCCAAAGGGCCTATGAATCATTGGACTAACTACACACGTGCAAGTTTTAATATGATTAGGATCTATGTATAAATAGGCAAAGAATAAAAGTTATTTAAAAACCAAGCTACCAAAAGCGTGTTAATAAAAAAAATAGAACTGCGACTTTATATGCCGGTACATCAAGTGGATCCTGTGAGAATGAGATCTATTATTTTTATTTACAAAATACTACTTAGGGTTGCTAGTAATAATAAAATTTAAAAAATCTATATTTTCCACATTACCCTTTACTTACATTTTAACCATATTAGGAAAAATATCTTACTTATATGTAGTATGGAGGTACGTATGGTACCGGATATATACGAACAGAAAGATCAATGACTGCAAAGTGATATTTATTCAAAATTATTAATAGGCACTAATACATCACGACATGCTTTTTCTGTACATTCCATAAAACAAAAATATACTATCTTCAGTTCACACATCATTAGACTGAAAGAATCTATAATTAGTGGAACAATAATCATAATACGTTGTACATCATGGAATGGAACGACGTAAACCATTTTTTGTTTACGAAACGTTTCAAAGGGCTCACTTCAAAAGATCACAAGTGACAAAGATATAATTTAACTGCTCCTTCAACGAAAGCCATTAAAATAATCTTAAGAAGCTTCAAGAGCTTTTATGTTATGATGATTGGACAAAAATTAGAGGAAAGATTTACTGTATGTTGACTTATTGTGTGCTGAATCATTGGTCTAGTGGCTAGCATGTATGCTACAGATGCTGAAGTCCTAGGTTTGACTCTGGGTCAAGACAAAAGTAGCTGGAATATATTATCAAGAATTTAATGTTGTACTTAGCCTTTTTTTAACATACCACTGCTGGGCACGGGCCTCCCTTCAATATGAGAGGGATCAGGCCATAATCCACAACACTGGCCAAGTGTTTTGGATTCACATGTCTTTCGAAAACTTGTTAGGTTCTCTCAGACATGCAGGTCTCCTCACGATATATTCCTTCGCCGTAAGACAAAATTGGTAATCATGTTGGAAAGGAGTCACACATGAAAATGTCCGAGGTGCGAAACCCGGGATTTTAACCCGCTTCACTTGGTTTCCCAAGTGAGCGCGTTATCACTGGACTACCACTGCCGTTTTGTATTACCAACCCAAAATTAGAAATATTTACCTGTAAAAGAAAAAAAGTTGATTATAATAGGATATCTTAGATTATTAATATATATAATCTAAGTTGGATATTTTAAAAATTCACATCAAAGGATTGCTACAAATAACTATAGAATCTTAAATAGCGCTGCAATGAAATTATTTAAACCAAGTTAAACGATCTTAACAGCTGTATAATATCTTTTTTTAACTTAATGACAAACTTAGTATTGCTTTTCGATTCTCCCCTAACTAGTTTATTTTTGTTTGATACAATAGTATGTATATGACCTTACTAATTACGGCTTTTGTGTGAAGTTTTAGTTTTTGTCATTAGTCATTGGAGGGTTCATTCGATTTGTTTAGTTTCCTTAAGACATATTAGGGAAGACAATTGTTAATTATAATATATTTTTTTTCGTAGTGATAGTGCCCAGTGTTAAAATAGTCACTATTGTAATCAAAACATCCTATTATATATATGATTATATATTCAATTTCAATATTAAAAGAACTTTAGCATTTTCAAACTTATCGATTACAAACAAATAATTTTTTTTTTTCTAGTTATAAAATTAGTATACAATATATTCGTACATACAACCTTTACCAAGGTTTTAAATGTGTCGATTAATATTATTAAAATAAGCATTTTTAGAACAATGATGACTTATTAAAACTTGCCCCAAAGTATAATATATCATGTGAGATAAGCATCATGAGGGTATAGTTACATAAAACTATGTTATCTCGACAGTTATAGAAAATCTCATTATGACTCGTTAAATATTAAATTATATTAGGGTGTTGATATGAGGGTAATTTTTACTATTTATTCTTATTTGTTAAACACATTTTTCATTCATTCTAAATCACTTGCCTTGTTTAACTTAAATTTTAAACAACCGCTTGTGACTGTATCGTTTCCAGTCACCGTGTGAAAAGGTACATGTAACATTTTTACGCAACGGCTACTTGTTTTGAGAAGAGTTACTGTTTTCGTGAATTGATTTTAATCATAGATATATTTTTCTACATTAATCGATACTAAATATATAACTAGAGTATTACATTGTATGTATTCAGCCCTTTCTAACGTCCCACTGCTGGGCACGGGCCTCCCTTGGGCCTCCCTTCAATACGAGGGGGATCAGGCCATAGTCCACCACAACACATACATACACATAGTAAGGCTCGCAACAAGGATAAAATAATCATACACATAACTGTTACCTTTCTTTTTAGTTTGCTTTGTACGCAGTCGGTTTTTAGTTTTAAAATATATTTTAAATCTTATAAAGCCATTTTTATTTTAAATTATAACATTATTTATGTATAAAACATAACTCGTCTCAAATAAGAAAACTTGTATTACTATCAGGAAATCCTTTCATTCCAGCCTTCCGGATATAATAAAACATTTTACGCCTATAACATTACATTTAATTATATATAAAGTACGTCATATCCTACTAGTGACAGTAAAAACGCCATTTCATTTAATTACCCAAACTCGTAGCAATTGAATTAATATTTTCAAGGCAAAGGATGATATCCGGAGGGGATAGTAATTAGAGCGGAAGTGACTCGTGGCCGAATTATTTTGAGCTCCCGCTAATATGACGAATGATATGAGTGTAGGTGCATATTAATTGGTTCTTCGATGGCGGCTTCAGGTTATGATCGTGTAGTTTCTATTCTACGCAAATTCCTGTCAGAATGTGTTTTCATTTAATGATAACGTCATACGGTTTCATTTAAATATAGTCATTGGTACGTACCTCCAATATTGATGAAAGTTTCATAAAAAACGCATCAAAAGTGTTGACGTATAAACAATATAATTGTCCTTTTTATTGTCCTTTTTATTATATTGGGTAGTTTAAAACTTTTATTACTCAATTTATAACAATCATTAATAAAAATGTCTTCGTACGAGAATTGAACTCATGACTTTTCGTGTAAGTTACAAGGACTGTGTAGTATTGGATCGAAGTAGTAAATACAGATTTAATTGATATTGTTTTAGCAATCTGCAAACATCAATATTTACTTTATCTAAAATAATATTTCTTTACAGATTTCCAGTTCGGGCGGACGAACTTTGAGAGCGAAAAAATATCTTGGACCCAGTCCAAACATTATGACACTTTGATGAGCGTAAATAGAAATATATTTTTAGACACCAAAACGGAAGTCGAATAGTTTTTTAAATTCGAATGAATATTGACCAAAGATTACCAAAAACACCTGAATTTGCGAATACATAAATATTGTGATTAAATACAGTGTTTTTAAAATAGTTTCGTTTTTAATAGATATTACTTTAAACGTTAAAGTGTTGAGTGGCAAACATCAATGAGTGCTAAATCAAACAAAATTCGTGTGGAGCGCAGTGAAGTGCCAGTTGCCAGCGAAAATGGCGAGAGATTTATATGTGCTTTTAATAGCGCTAGTGTTGCAGACCCTGATTAGGACGAGTGAAGAGATCGTTGAAGCGAGTAAGTATGACACTACATGTAAATATTTATGTTAATTTATATGTCTAAAATTCTTAATCTTACAAATCTATATTATTATATAATAAAATTGTAACTAAGTGGAATCTGTATATTAGATATTTTTTGGAAAATCTTATTGACATAAACATTATTATCGATACAGAGGTCGAATCTATAGTTTTTAGAATTTCTGTCTGTCTGTCTGTCTGTCTGTCTGTTACCGCATCACAGAAAACCACTGGAGGGTATTGATCAAATTTGGTACGGTGATAGCTGGTTATCCGGGTCAACATATAGGATACTTTTTACCGCGGGAAAATGTCTCATTTTTTAAGAAAAAATACAAAAACTGCAATGTAAGAGTATACTAATATGTAAAACCTAAGAATTAGGTTTTTGGTCATCTGAACGCGGGCGGAGCCGGGAGCAATGCTAGTAAATAATACTTTTTTAGATTTACGCGAATATTTGACATGTTATCTTTTCGGTTTATGTCGCAGATTTATTTAGATTTTTGGTTCCTATCCAAAACCAAACCTCAACCTAAATCGACCAACTAAGGGGACCAAAACTGAAAATAAATCTGCGAAATAATCCTAAAAGATCGTTTTATTAAATAGAAATAAAAATTTGTATGTGCGTGTGTTAAGTTTATAATATGGATGAAATTTGTTACATATATGATTTGGATGAAATTTGTTACATAGATAGGCTGTAACCAGGACTACTAATTCGATACATCCAAGCGAATCGAAGCTAAATCGTTAGTCCTACTAATATTATAAATGCGAAAGTTTGTGAGATTGTATGGACTATAGACGTCTGGATGCATAGATGTATGGATGTTTGTTACTCTTTCACTCAAAAACTACTGAATGAAAATTAATGAAACTTTACAATAATATAGCTCATACACCATGTTCTGATACACAAACATACATCACCCACAAGCTACTTTTTATCCAAGAAAAATGTACAGTTCTTGTGAGATAGATTTATTTTTGTATCGTTATAAATTGGAAATTTTGTAGTTAAATCGTAGTTTTATATAACAACGGAGTTTATTTTGTGTAAATATATAATACTTAGTTCATAGACTAGTAATTTAGTGACAAAGTCTTTTAATTTGGTAAATGAAATAGTTCATCTGAGAATAAATATGTAATAACTATAGAAAAATGTCACTATAGAAAGCACCGTTAGAGTTGCGAAAGGTAGGTTTCTTATTCATATTTTATGTGTAAAGGTCAGGAGTTTATATTTGTCACGATGGAAATGTTTTTCTTCACCTTACAACATAGAGTATGAACTTGTGAATAAATGATTTGTTATACTTTTATTTTCTTACTAGCGACTCACTCTTGCTCCGCTCGGGTTCGTCTCTAGTTCCGTTTTAACGTTTAGCTCAGAGATGAGATATTTTCCCGCAGTAAAAAGTATCCTATATGTTACCCCGGATAACAAGCTATCTTCATGCCAAATTTCAATAAAAACTGTCTAGTGGTTTTCTCGTGATGTATTCCCAGACAGACAGACAGACAGACAGACAGACAGACAGACAGATTTAATGTACAGATTCGACTCAGAATTTTATTATATGTATAGATTTGACTTTATTTTTAGAGTTTTGACGTTTATTCTATCGTAACCATAACTTGCTATGATATCGAGGTTAATTCGTTAGTTTTATTATAAAAAGTTATTAAAAGAGGATGATTACATATCCAAGTATTAAATAGACTCCCTTATATGTTATTAAAGTTAAAATAACAAAGCTCAGGAAACGGTCACTTCTTACATAATCCCTGAACCCGAAGTCATTCCTACTATCGACCCTTCTGTTGGCGAACGGCCAACTTCGAAGAATCCTCGTACAACTGTCAAATATGCCTTGTCAATAATGGACTGGGTTTAATTATAAAGGATCCCCGAGTATACGGCAGTGTATGGTACAATATTAAATGTGTAAAAGAAAAGCTTGATGCCTCGAAGCTTCCCCCTGTGCATCATCTATTTGTTTATTTTTTTTTGTATATTTCTATTGTGGTATAAATATAAATATGTTAGGACATTAACACATAACACCATCTAGTTCCATGGTAAGCTACGAGGCTTGTGTTATGAATATATATATACCAGATAGTTGATACACTACACATATATGTAATTTTAAATACCTACATTTTATAAACATAAACATCTATGACTGGAGTACATATCTGCTGGTGATCAAACAACAAAAACCAACAACAACCAACACAATACAAACTCACCGGGACTCGAACCCTTAACCACTGGCAGCGAGTAGGGTCATTACAAACTGAGCCAAATGTGTTGACATATCTATCTATCTTGGCGCTAAAGCTATGCTACTCGTATGTAATATATTTGTCAATTGTGTATCAATTTTCATACCTCAAGAAGAGTTATCACAAAAGGGTGATCCTATACCAATAAAGAAAACTACCTTAACATGTAGAATAATGAATTTTAAGTGGTTTCAAATTCAAACTTATTTTTATTGAAAAATATTTTTTGTCCTTGGTTTCGCTTGCATGGTAAGCTGGGCGGGGATTAGAGTAGCTTATGTTAGTCCCACCAGGATATAACTGATGTCTTTGCTAAATTTCATCAAAATCTGCTCAGCGTTTTGAGTGAGAAAAATTAACAAAAAATGTTTTTTTCTAATTAATTATTTTAGTACGAATTTTATAACTCCTAGATTTCTGTTCTGAAATATGCTGTTAAATAACTATTTCGTATATTGTTATAGAAAAGTAATTAATTTCCTAGCCATTACTTGTGGCGGCTTTTTTATTCTACTTTAGTTTACAGTTAATTAATATTGTATATTTTAAGACTCTCGCCTGAATAATTTTGTTTTAATAAAGAAAAATGCATAGGCGCTAACGGTATAGAAGTTCACGCGTTGCAAGGTCATCTAATCTATACATACTCGTATAATAAAATTGTAACTAAGCCGAATCTCTACATTAATATTTTTTGGAAAATCAGAAAATGAGAAATCTACACTAAACGTTAAAACGTTGTAGGGACGAACCCGAGCGGAGCTTGAGTGAGTCGCTAGTGGCATATAAAATAACGGTAAAATCGATAACATAAGAACCTAACTATATAAAAACACTTATAATATGAGATAAAATTAAAAACAATCAATTCGCCAATCGTTAAACTTTTGTAGGTTTGAGGTCTTGTACAATAAGCATATATGAACATACGTTTTATATATAAAATTGATGTAGATTCTAGTAAAAAGCTTGTTTTAATGTTTAATATAATAATACATCAAACTTAAAAGGCAGTAGTCATAACAAATTCGAAGCGAAATAGAAAGCTTGGGCGATATTTTATTTATCGGGTTTATGCAAATCGCGTAGCATCGGGATATCTGAGAACATTAAAGTAGTTTATAGCAACACACTGGTGCCTCATATTTTGTGTATTCACGGATTATGGGAACTGTTGTATATTACTGTTAAATAATTTGCTACTGATATTTTTATTGGGTAAATGTAATAAGATTATTAAAATTGAAGTCCAAAATTTTTTTGTCATATTTTAAAAAAGCATTAGTTTACACAAATATTTCTTAAACGTGTGTGTACTTATGTGTGTACGTTAGAAGTTAAAAATCTTTGGTGTAACAGAACAAAAATAGCTAAAGATTTCATCCAACGATGTCACAACTCTCTGTTTCTAAAAGGAATGCAGCTAACTTCATCATGTCGCTTTTTGGCTTTTGGTTTTTGGTTGCTTTGGTTGGCTTTTGGTTTGCTTTTGCTTTGGCGTACAAATTATACTCTCATGATTTTTTCCAGACGTGCCAAAAGAAGTATAACTTTAAAAAAGTAGAATAAAAAATAATAGGAAAGCCTAGATATAACGGATGCAAAACGTACTTCTAAATTAGGTTTAAGTTGACTTAAAGCTAATCTACCCCGCCTCGGATATAACGTGAAGGTGAATAATAATGAAAGCTTACTATTAAAGTTAACATTTTTTATGTTAATACCACAGTTTTTACTAGCTTTTGTATGGCAAGTGTAAAATAAAATTTAAATAAACAACCAGGCATTTCAAAATTTTATTGTATACTAGCGATTCACCCTCGCTTCACTCGGGTTCGTCCCTAAGTTGCTTCCCCATAAAAACTCATCCCCATTTTAACCACCTTAAGGGATGATTTCCGGGATAAAAACTATCTTATATCCTTTCCAGCGTCTCAAACTATCTTTTTACCAAATTTCATCTAAATCGGTTTTGTAATTTCGGAGCCTATGCGGTACAAACAAACAAACAAATAAATATTTCCTTTTTACAATATTAGTATAATAGATGATCAATACAAGACATTATCTTTAGATAGTGAGTTCTCCTAAAACATTAATCTTAATAAGAGAGACAGAAGCAAATATTCGGCTAACTGCCAATTGCATGGGATTTGTGCTTTACTCTGTCAACTCGCCGGAGAACTAATCTAATAGACTGTGTACGATTTGTCTTTCCATTCGCGTCCTATTTAAATCAACTTCAGGCTTTATAAATAACTGAGTGTTCTGTATAAAAAGCCTTAGCCAACAACTATAATTGTATAGGATAAAAAATGTATCTAACATGTTTTGGTTGACTTAATGAACTGTAGAAACGTGAAAATTGTGTGAGATATTAAGTATTTGCTTCGAGTTTAAATGAAACTGACAACCTTATATAAGTTTAACCACAAAATCAGGCCTTTTTTATTTTTCGTAAATATTAATGTACACTAATATTATAAAGAGGAAAGATGTGTATTTTTGTATGCTTGCAACAAATAAACTCTAAACTACTGGACCGATTTAGATGAAAGGTAAGAAGATAGTTTGTGACCCTAGGAAGGATATAGAATATCTTTTTATTCCTTAAATCATCCCTGAAGGACGTGAAAATCGGTATGAAAGTTTGTATAGGGAATCAACCTAGATGAGTCGCTAGTTATTTTT